ACGCCGACGTCCGTCGATTCATTGCGACACTCGAAATTTATGTCAGAGGTCCACTGGTGATCCCCGATTGATCCTAGGGAAGGGTTACAGGCACGTTGGCCTGGGGGGTTATGGGCGCACTCACCCGCTACACAAACAAGCCCTTTTATCCCAGTGGTTAGTGACTGGGATTCTGACATGGTATCAGAGCGAAGGTCTCGGGTTCGAATCCCGGTGTGTGCACCTCGGGCATCCCAGTGCGAGGGGGTGTCAGAGGTCCACTGGTGATCCCCGATTGATCCTAGGGAAGGGTTACAGGCACGTTGGCCTGGGGGGTTATGGGCGCACTCACCCGCTACACAAACAAGCCCTTTTATCCCAGTGGTTAGTGACTGGGATTCTGACAATTTATTTCGAGGCCGTTGGCTGTACGACCCCGACACACGATGCAATGCGGATTCGGCTCGCAGCAACACTGTTGCGAGGCCCGGCGCTCGAGTGGATTTACAACAGTAAGGAGATCCGAGGCGAGGGGTCATGGACGCAGTTTTGGGCAGCTTTAATTCAACGTTTCGAACCGATCAATTCCAGCTACATGGCGCGGCAGCAGATTCACAGTGGGAGAGCTGCTCGACAGGCTACGTCGAGCTGCAGGGGACCGCTGTGGTGTTGCTGTCGACCAGGGAGCTCGACAGCTGCAACTGACTGGCCTGGGCGACGGGTGGGCCGTCCATGAGGTCGACGGAGCAGTCCGTCAACCTGCGGTTCGGCCAGAGGGTCGATGGACCAGTCCGTCGACCTACAGTTCGAACGAGGAGGACAGCGGAGCAGTCCGTCGACCTGACAAGTGAGCAGCGGTCGACGAGGGGAGCTCGGCGACAACCGCTGACAGTTCTGGTCGCCGGAAGGGGTCCGTCGACCAGGGAGATGCTCGACGGGAGCTACGGTCAACCAGAGTACTTGGTGCTCGACCACAGCCACCCGGTGGTCGACCAGAAGCACCTGGTGGTCAACCGAAGGACCTGGTGGTCGACCGGAGGCACCTGGTGGTCGACCGGGAGCATCTGGTGGTGTCCAGGTCGACCAGGTAACCTGCTCGACGAGTTCTGCGGAGGCACGCGAACGTCGTCGAGGTCGCGATGGCGAAGGCGACTGCGGGCTGGTATCTCGAAGCCGATGTGGCTCGTCAGGCGCAGACAACAGCCGACAGATGCCCAACGAGGCAAGTCGGACCAATTGTCTGCGCGCACCTGCGAGCGTGCGCACTGCTGTCTTCTACGGGGCAACGCTGGACAGCCGCACAGCTGCAGCGTTGGCACGCCGTCGACCTGCAGTGTTGGCAGGTCGCTCTTCTGCAGTGCTGGTGCGGCTCCTCTACGCAACGCTGGCAGGCGGTCGACCATGCAGTGCTGGCGGTCGACCAGGCTAGCTCCAGAGTTGCTAGGTGCCTGATGTAGTCAGTTCTGTCATTGCTTGTGAAATCATTCTGTTATCCCAACTTTGCTAGTGGAAATGCTTGCCCGATTTCTCTCGTGATTGTGCAAGCACTAAGGAACTAAGCAAAGCTACGATCACTCCTAGTAGTTCGTGCCAACCCCCGTAGTCTAGCTCACTACCGTTGTAGAGTGATTCTCCGCATAATATACTTGAAACGTGTTACAGTCTCGCCAGTAGCCAGACCGTGTCGGACTGGAATGCCTTTCGGGATTTCGTAGATACACCTGGGCTCCACTAATTCCAAGGCCCGAAATTGGGCGCTTTCGGGTAGTTACCCTTATTATGTCTGGGACCAAGGGCTGTACAGAGTGAAACATATTGTAGATTAGGTAAAGTTTCAAACTCCTTTTGAGAGAGATGACGCGACGAAGATCGCAACTCGAAATTTTGCCCGTCAGAGTACGTAGTGAGCCAGATCTTTTGAAGTTTTGGTTTTTTTAACAACCGATGAGGAGAGCGCTGTCAAACTCTATTTGATTCGGGGTGTCTGAAAGATATGGCCGAATCTGGTCCATGGTGTCTCTCAGAACTTTTTCATGGGCTTGAAATTAGTGGAGCCCATGTGTATTTGTCGATATCTCAACGGGAAAAAATAAGATACTAAATGGAAAGTGAAAGTGATTTTGTAAAACGGTCAACACATCCAATGACGTATGCAAACGACAGCATGTTTTTTATGCAATGTAGATGCCGATTTCCACAATTTGGTGACTTCAACCTTTGAGATACAGTCGGTGCCTACTAAAAAACGCATGGTAGCCAGACGGCATGTGCGTAAAACGAGTTTGTAGCGTTTCACTTACATTCTCATAGTTTCGCCCTTCACGTTGCAATTGTGATTACAAGTGCAATGAAATAGGAATTTGTTGCAAATCGGTTCAAATATATGTGTCGGTTTTGAGTGGTTGGGAGCAGGCCTGTCGATTGACGGACATATGCCCTTAATGCCCTGACATTAAGGGCTAGTTTCGCTCCAGCTCCAATGCGTCAAGTTTTAGATTCGCACCCCACCCGTGCCACTAAGTGCTTCGTTTGACCCTTCCCCGGATGCGTTAAGGGACGAAACCAGGCCTTCCCCTTTATCTAAGTTTTGGTTTCCGATAGTTGGACCCCCCCCACCCCAGGGTGTCAGAGTTAACCACCCCCACCCCCCCCCCCCTCTTTCTCCTTAGCCTGCACGAGAGCGCGCGGAGGGGATTTTTCCATTAGCGTTTTCTAGCCAATCTCGTGTGTGTAGTGTGTCTCAGTCAGCCTTGGAGCACCCGAACATTCCCTTAGCACGTCAAAGGAACTGAAGCACTCTAGCGTAGCAGCTCTCTCGCTTAACCAAATACAGTGTAGTGCAAACTTCGTACATGCCCGGATTTCAAGTTTTCACTTTGGGGTGCGCCCGTGCCCGTTAAGGGCGCCAAAACGCTCACCTACACCCAACCAAGGGTCAGATGGGGAGGAGCTGGGGAGCGCAAGTACGAGCCCCAGGAACTTCGACAGGCCTGGTTGGGAGCCGTCCCGAACTAACCCGTCCCGTTGAGGCTTCTGCACCACGTCCTTATTCTGATGACGTGCATTTATTTTATGTTTATGAATTGTAGATGTTGGCTTCCGCAATTTAGTATCTTGTGTAATAGGGTGAGCATGACCGGTACAGTGGTGCCCTTGAAAACCTTTGAGAGTTTTGGATTGGAACAATTTGTTTCTGGGATGGGGTGAGCTTCGACTGAAGTCGGCTGTCTCCATTCAGCCACACTCTCTGTGCAGACAAAGTCAACAGCTCGAAGAACCGAGTTGGCAGTCGTGATTCTGCTTGTACTGTACTGTATGTTGTGTACGCCAAAAAGAGGTTTCCCAAACTGTATGTTGTGTACACAAAAAGGTTCTGTACAGCCTTTACGGCAGTAAAAAAACATCTCGCTGTTCAGGAAGTTTCGAAATGTTGACGAGGGGTTGGGGATCCTTTTAGGACGTGGCCCAGACCGGGTCTGATCGGCAGTGATCTGCTCGGGTTGGATCTGATCGGGCCGACTTTGATCGCGCGGCGCGTGCCGCCCGATCAAAGCTGAAGTTCCTCGAATGTGACGGGATGGTGCATTGCAAGCATAAACACATTTCCTAACAACTTCGGGCCAAATTTGTCGACAGCGAAATGCACAGGCACTGCTCCAGCGAAACTTGTGTCACCCTGTAATTTCGCAGACAGTTTGATGAAAGGCGAACTGTATGCGCGTCCAGAAAGTTTTTTGCAGTCGTGGATGTCAGGCGAGGACTACTCGAAACCCAGATGAACACTGTAACTTTTCGTTGCCGTCACATGGGGGCGCAACCCAACGCAATCAACTGATCGTGCGTGATTGTGTGTGATTGTGTCTGATTGGGGTGTTTCAGGCGGTTGATCGAGTTGGGGCGATCAATTGATCGCGATCAACTGATTGCCCCTGATTGCTTGAAATTGGCCGTGAGGCTTCTTAGAAGTTATTGATCGCTTCTGATCGAGGCAATCAGACCCGGTCTGGGCCACGTCCTTAAACGAAACCACCTTGTACGGTCTCTTTCTGCCAGTGGGGAAACTGACGATCTCTCGAGAATGAGATGCTCCCCCACTCACCTCACTTCCCTTGGTGTTGAAAAAGATGGGGGTGACTAGGTTGGGCATCAAGTTTTGTTTTTGTGACTGATGCCCTTGGCAACTTTCCTGCCAGATCAGATCTGGTTGCGCGGCGATGAGAGACGACGCCGTCCGGAGAAATCCGACCTTGACGTCGTCACGAAACAGTGCCCGAAGTTGTTTAGTTTACACGAAAAGTTACGGAACACTGTTCATATGTGTCTGTTTCTTGAAAAACTTGCCCATTTGAACAGCTTCCGACCTGGGAATTAGAAGATTTTGACTGGCCACAAAGAAAAACCTCACAATGTTAGTTCTTGCTCACAAACTTGTCCAAATACACCCTATTCGCGATTATTGCACACTCCCTACCTGCTCTGTGAAGGTGCCCAATACCGATTCAGGCTCGATACGACAAAGTCCTACGTTGTGAATATATTCTGTCTTGGCTTGGTGACGGGTTTGGGAACCCTCATTGAAAGGGAGTCCTTTCTGGCAACACTGTAAATGTTGCCAAGTGGGTTACCGTATTGTCGTTTCAGTGCTTTGGGCTTGGGGTTTGGGAACATCGCCTCTGACCCAGCCCTGTGTCTGAGGTGGTCGACGGATGTCGATGGGTGCCTGGATGTCACAAATCCTGACGGTCGGAACTAGCGATCCAAGGGCTGGCATTTACCGACATCTCCATAAGTTTTGTCGACGTTCAGACACGCTCGATGGCGGAAGCGTGGGATGTTTGGCATCAGCAACACCATTCCAAGCACGAAAACGTTTGCTGCGAGAACATCTAACCTCCCGCAGCTTTCATGTGCAACACCACTTCCTAAAAGTCGATCCCCTCTGCGCTCTGCAGCGGTAATAGTTTCGCACGTCTCCCGCTAGGATCTTTGGTATGGGGTCAGCTCCATTAAACCGCGGGAGCATGAGGCTCGCGCCGTGGTCTAAGTCCGTGCCTTACCTCGTCCTCGCGGCTTCCGCTGTGCTCTTCGCCGCCTCCGTCGCCCTCCGCTTCACCAGTCCTGGTATGCCGCCGCTTCCTCACTCGCGGTCCACAAACTTGTGGACTTGAACTTCTAGCCTTGCTGCAGCCGCTGACTGCTGACTGGCAAACTTCGTGACTGGCCGCACTTCCGAAGTGTACTATGTACATAGTCTCACCAATTGTTCGCTCCTGTACTATGTACTTATAGGTTCTGCTACAAGCAGTTTACTCTATAAAACTCCGTATCTATAATATAGCAGAACCTATAAGTACTTAGTACGGGGGGCACACACATTGGTGAGAGTCTCACCAATTGTTCAGTCCTGGATACTGTCCTGGGTCTGTTCTGAAAGATACAACACTGAGGCTATCCGTGGGATACGGCTACTATGTCACATTTGGATCACATGATGTGATCCAATTGAGACGGTCCTGGAATCTTTTGGGACACTTTCGGCATAGTTGGAAAGTTTCCGTCCTAAAAGAAACTCTCACTGAGAAGATTTTGGGCATCTGATGCATTCACTTATGGGTCACTGCATTGTATATGTAGCGCCTGTAGAGATGACATCACTCCCTTACCCTCCCCCCCCCCCGCCGTTGCAGCACCGGGCGGTGCAGCGAGGTGGATGCCAGCAGACGCGACCGCCTCGGGCAAGCGCACGCGGTTCTTGATCAGCAACTTCGGGCTGCCCGGGCCCGTGCCGTGGGAGTGGATTCGCGAGAGTGTTCAGCAGCAGTTCACGCTGGGTGGCCGCGTGCGGGTGCGGAGAGCAGAGGGAGGGGCGGCACGTGGGCACAGTGGGGCCGAGTGCCTGGGGTGTTGGGGGGGAGGGGGTGGGGGGGAAGGTGGGGGGGGATTGAAGGGGGGGGGGGGGGGGGGGGGGGGGGGGGGGGGTTTGAGGTAGTGAGTCGCGCGCAGGTGGATGGTCGGGTTGCGGAACCCATCTGCGCACTGAGCAGTGCGGGCGAATTGATGGCATGCAGCATGCACATTGTGGAACATGGCCCATGTAAATGCTCTGAAACGACACTCTCCTTCCCCTCCCACTGGCAGATCGAGACCTGGTTTTGGAATACGGACTCACCAGAGTCGGGGGTGAAGCCGTTCGTGTGGTCCAACGATGACATTGAGCAGCAGGTCGCCATGGCCCGGCGCCGAAACGCAAGCTTTGGGTCGTATGAACCGAGTAACACGGCGTCCTTCTTCTCAGCGTTCGAAAAGTACCCGCTGGACGGCAAGAGCGTGCTGGTGATCGGCAGCCAGTTGCCGTGGGTGGAAGCCATCTGCCTGGCCTTTGATGCGAAAGCAATCACGACCGTTGACTTCAACCGGCCAGTGGCGTCGCACCCGAAGCTGCGGCAGCTGGTGGTGGACGAGCTGGAGGACAGCAGCGAGACGTGGGACGTCGCCGTCTCCTTCTCCTCGCTCGAGCATGATGGGCTCGGCCGCTACGGCGACCCCATCAACCCCAATGGCGACCTGGAGCGCATGCAGAAGGTGAGCTGTGGTGGCACAAGGTGGGCTGTGGCGGGTGAGGTTTGGCGGCAAGTTTACACATCGTTGCAGCAAGGTTACTTGTAGTGAAACAGTCGTGTGAGAAGTATTTTCTTATCTTGGGTAGTGTTTTGCTTTGTTTCTGCTCAAGCAGCCCTTTTAACCATGAATGTCGATGTCGTTTTTTGCCTTCCATTGCCATACGTGGTTGGTTCACTCCCTTGACAGATCAAGGGGCTGCTGAAGCCAGGGGGGCTGCTGTTCCTGGGCGTGCCCGTTGGTAATGACACGCTGGTGTTCAACGCCCACCGCATATACGGGCCTGCCCGCCTGCCGCTGCTGCTCGCAGGCTGGCGTTTGGTGGACTTCTTTGGGGTCGACAGCCTGGAAAAACTGTACCGAATGAATTTCAAGGTCGACGTTGTTCAGCCGCTCCTTGTGCTCCGTGTGGATGAGTAGGTAAAACACTGACACCCAGGCCAGGCCCCTAGATCTAGGGTACATTCATGCGTGGACACTTGTGTCACAATCCAATTGTGACGTGCAAATTTTACATACACGGTAGTATGTTGCGTGGTGTCTCAAATGCGCGTCGCCCTAGTGCAACATTTAGTGTATTTTACTCTGGGCACCATTAAGCATGCTGAAGTCGCGGACGAGTTGCACAATGTCAAAATGAGGAATGAATGATGCATTGATGTTGGTTGGGGTACATATAGCTAACCCTAAGTTTTGTACCCCCTAAGACAAACCTCACTATAGGCTACAACATTTGACACACCCCCATAGCCTAAGTGAGGGGTGTCTAGCAGAACCAAACGAGTACGGTCACAAGACCAGTCCAAGAAACGAAGCTCAGGGTGGATCACAACGTCACCACACAGTCTGAGCACAAACAACAGTGGCCACAAGGCCAGTCCAAGAAGTAACAGAGGTATATAGAAAGCAAAGTAAACAGTACACTCAAGTCTAAGCAACACGAGAACCAGTGTCAACAAGGCCTAACTGCACACAGCACCTCTGGTGGTCACAAGGCGGAAGCGCCTTGGTGAAGATGTCTGCAGTGTTGGCTTCGGACTCCACAAACTCAAAGCGAGCCTGTCCACGCCTCTGCAACTCTCGCAGAAGAAAGTACCTGACGTGAATGTGCTTCACTCTGCTCTCCAGTCGTGGCTCTCGACAAAGGAGAATAGACGCCTTGTTGTCAGTGAACAAGGTCGGTGCAGAGCTCGGCCGCTCACCAAGGTCGGTGAGCAAGAAGGTCAACCAACGCAGCTCCTGTGCCGCCATGGCACCAGCGTAGATCTCAGCCTCAGCTGTAGAGGTCGAGACCGAAGAGGAGCGCGTGGACCGCCAGGAAACAGCTCCAGAACCCAGGCTGAAACAGTACCCCTGAGTAGACCTGTGAGTCTCAGCGTCGTCAGCGTAAGAGGAGTCACAGTGACCAGTAAGTACGACAGACTGCTGCCCTCCAAGAACTAGCCCCACGCCTGACGTCGTCGCTAGGTACTTCGCCACCCTCACAGCTGCTGTCCAGTGAACAGGACGGTGTCTCCCTGGCGCAACAAAGCGCGCAAGAACGCTGAGAGGGAAGGCGAGGTCCGGGCGAGTACAAGTCATCAGGTACATGAGGCAACCCACAAGCTCAGCGTAGGGACCACTAGGCTCGAACGGCTCGTCAGGAAAGGGTCCAGTGAGTCTGTGGTCAACAGCAAGAGGTGTGCGCTGTACTGTGGAGTGCTGAAGCCCGAACCGCTGAAGGACCTGCTGCACCATGTGCGACTGTGAAAGTGTAATGGTGCGAGCAGCTCTGTCCCTGGTGATCTGCAGGCCAAGGTAGTGGCGCAGCTCACCAAGATCAGTGCAGGTGTGTCTCTTCTGCAGTTCGGACTTCACGTGTGCCAAAGCAACCCTGTCAGGGGTGGCGAAAACAAGGTCGTCAACGTAGACCAGAACAAAGAAAGGTGTGGGGCCACGACGAACGAACAGCGACGGGTCAGCAGAAGACGGCTGGAACCCAAGGTCAGACAGGGTAGAACGCAGGGTGTCGTGCCACTCACGAGGAGCCTGACGAAGTCCGTAAACCGGTCGCCTCAGCCTCCACTGGGTCCCAGGAGGGAAAGAGCCAGTGAAGGCAGAGGGACGACGCAACCAGACCTCCTCGTGAAGACTGCCCTGAAGGAAAGCAGTAGAGAAGTCGAGAGAGTGTAACTCGTAGTCTCTCTGTGCTGCTACGTGTAGTAACACCCGAAGAGTGGTCATCTTCGGGGTGGGCGCGAAGGTCTGAAAGAAGTCAACTCCCTCGCGCTGACTGAAACCTCTAGCCACGTAGCGCGCCTTGAAGACCGGAGGAGATCCCGGTGGCCGCTTCACCCTGTAGATCCACATGCCGTCGACTACGTTCGCCCCCGGAGGGGGAACCTCATCGACGTAGGTGCCTGTGGATCTGTAGGAGGCCATCTCTGCGTCCATGGCAGCTCTCCACTGAGAGGCCCAAGGCCCTGACACTGCCTCAGCGTAAGTGCGAGGAGTCGGAATGTCAAGGGCGTCGGGGTCACCCTCAGGGGCGAGGAGCATGGCACAGAGATGAGGGGAAGCGGCCGCCAGGAACTCTAGCTCAAACTGCCTGTCCTCTAGGGCGTCACAGCCAAGGGCAGACACACCCCCGACGGCCAGAGGACTGGAAGGAGGAGCAGCCACAAGAGCGGTGGCGAAGTCAAGGCGGCGGGTAGAGGCAAACTCAGTGACTGCGGCAGTAAGAGCGGACACAGAGGACACAGAGGCACGAGGGTGGGTAACAAGAGAGGCGAGAACACGAGAGAGAACAGGACGGTACATGCGGTAGTAGTCAGTGACAGGAGAAGGAAGCGACACAGTGAGGGCCGACTCAGGAGGAGACGGAAGCACAGACGGAGACGGACGAGGTGGACGAGAACAAAGGAAGGCTGTACGAAGGTCAGTGAAGGGAACAGGAGACGAGGGACGAGCACGAGGGGAGCGACGAGAGGCCCAAGTCTGAGAAGGAGGAGGAGACAACGAAGACTGAGAACGAGGGAAAACAGCGGGAGAGGGGTCAGGAGGAGGAAGCGGAGGACCAGAGACGGGAGGAGAGGGGGAGGAGGAAGGAGAGGGAGAGGGGAGACCAAGGGTCCGAAGACCCGAGACAGGAGGAGGAGACGGCAGCTGCTGCTGCTGCGGCTGCTGCGGCTGCTGCTGCTCCAGCGGCTGCTGCCCCTGCTGCTGCTCCTGCTGCTGTCGCTCCTGCTCCTCGAGCCGCTGCAACTCTCTCTCCTCTCTCTCCAACTCCAGCTGCTCCTCACGAGCACGGCGAACACGAGCCTGGAACCTGGTCGGGTAGGGGTGGGGGGAAGGAGTAGTGTCCGGGGCAGCGGCAGCCCCAGAGTCGACCTCCGAAGCACCAAGTACACCACCCCCAGAGGCAGCACCAACACCAGCTCCAGACCCAGGCTCTCTAGAAACCGAAGGGACACCCTCACCCCCAGACGCAGCACCCCCAGACTCCGCACCAGCACCCCCAGACTCCGCACGACCAGTACCAGCCCCCGGAAGACAAGAGTCCTCTGCAACCCGCGGCTCAGCTCCAACTCCAGCACCCCCAGAACCAGGGACCTGTACAGGGACAGTCGCAGGACCAACCTCCCGAGAGGGAGCACCTGCAGGAGGCGGCGAGGAAGACTGTGGGGAGGGAGGCTGTACAGGGGGGGCTACCGAAGGGGGAGGGCTAGCCTGAGACACACCAGACGGGGCTGGACCAGGGGGGGGAGGCTGTACCGGGGGAGCAGGCGGGGGAGCGGCGGTCAGGAAGAGAGGGGGGGGAGGGACCGGGAGACCTCGACTGGGGTACCTGACGTAGTAGGGGGTGGACTCCTCGAAACGGACGTCACGGGAGTCAAAGAACCGGTGAGAGGGAGGGTGGTAAAAGGTGAAGTCAGAGGAGTCCTCAGGGAAACCAAGGAAGACACAAGGAACGGCGCGAGGCGAGAGCTTGTCCGCGGAGGTGTCGCGGACAAGAGCCAAGCACCCCCAGACACGAAACCTCGACGCGACACCAGGGGACCCTGTCCAAAGACTGGTCGGTGAAGCCTCCGGCCGAGAGACGCGTGGCCAGAGGTTCAGCTGGTGCGCGGCGTACCTGACCGCGTATGGCCACAGGAAATGGGGGGCACGGGCGTGAGTCAAGGAGGTGCGGGCAATCTCCATGACCAGGCCTATGCGACGCTCAGCAACCCCATTCTGCTGTGGGGACTCCGGAAGCGTCCAGGACTGACGAATGCCCTGTTCGCGACAGAATCCAGCGAGAATGCCGGAGCGAAACTCGCCCCCGCGGTCGGAGTGGAGACAGCTGACACGACGACCACGAGTGTCCTGGGTGGTAAGCAACCACCTGATCAGCGTAGAAGTCACCTCAGACTTCCTCGCCAGGGGGAACACTGTGGTGTAGCGGGAGTAGTCGTCAACGACCACCAAAAAGAAACGCTCACGCTCAGGGCCAGGGCGAGGAGAGGGGCCCCAGACGTCCAAGTGCAGCGTCTCAAAAGGCTCGGTGGCCGGACGAAGGGAGGAGGAGTGAGGGGTGGCGTGCAGCCGACCCTCGACGCAAGGACCGCACGGTGGTGCAAGGGACGGCGGCAGCGACGGCAAGACACGCGGGAGACCTAAGACAAGACGCTGACGAGACATAGCGCGAAGACGAGGAGGAGAAGGGTGCCCCAGCCGGTGGTGCCACAAAACGGTGGGGTGGGCAAGCGACCGACAGGAGCACGACGCAGCGACCGGACTAGACGGAGGAACCTGACAAGACACAGCTACCTGGGGGGACGGAGCAACCTGGTGAGACGCGAGGACTCGAACGGGAGGCAAAACAGGGGCCGGGGGCAGGAGGGGCGGCTGTGGCTGCGGCTGCGGCTGCTGCCGCTGCTGCTGCTGCTGCAGTCGCTGCTGAGCGCGCGGGCGAGTGTGAAGAGTGTAGAGACCGGAGCCCGGCTCAGCAGCAAAAGTGGCGAGGGGCTGGTAAGAGTCCCCGTCAACACACACCGCAGTCTCTCCAGAAGGCTCAAACCACACACCCACGTGCTGACTCACGAGGGGTCGCACGCCCACCAAGTTCCGGGAGAACGAGGGGACGTGAAACCCAGTGAGAGACCCAGAAGGAGCAGCCGGACACGGCAAGGTGGTAGTGTGACGCGCGGTGACTGGTCCCGAAGTGGGATCAGCCAGCGCCACAGAAACAGGCGCAGGAAGAGGCGTAAGTGTCGTGCTGTCACGAAAGAAGCAGTGAGAAGCTCCAGAGTCCAGCGTGAACGACAGCGAACCGTCCTCTGAGGTAGCCGCTGGACTAGAGTCTACACAAGAACCTACACTAGCAACAGGCAACTGAGCAAGGCTAGCACCTAAGCTAACAACACCAGAGTAAGCAGAGTCAGAAACACTAGAGTCAA